GATTGCAATATATATATATATATATACCTCTATATCACAGGACTTGATTTGACTTTAAACGTTCGCTAGCATAACGAGAAAATAGGGTAGTTTCCAGGGTAAGAAAATTAAAAATCTAATTAGTCCTTCAGTTGGATAATGAAAAAAAAATGTTATACACGTATTTTTATTTTCTCGTATAAAGTTACAATATCCTTCTAACTACCTCCCACTCCTATAGGAGTGCTAACTACCTCCCACTCCTATAGGAGTGGGAGGTAGTTAGCTACACGACATTTCAAATCAATATATCGTCGAAAACATTTAATGTTATAAGAAAAGAAAAAATACGTGTCGAATGTTATAAAATAATCTACCAGACGGACATTAAAATAAATTTTAGGGAACTTCTGGTTGTTACATTGTATTATAAACGTACCTATACCAGGGTATCAAAGATTAAAAAGGCGTAACGATGTATGTAATAAAAGAAAGTGTGACTAACAAAAAATAAACCCATGTATACAAATAGTTATCTTGAAAGAGAAATCACTTCAATTATTGACCCAAAGCCGCCGCCGCCACCGACTCAACGCAAACATTATGAGCCAATATTTACAAAAATCAGCAAAATGCTTTGTTTGTTGTATAGGACGACAAACGAGCAGACAGAGCATCTGGTGGTAAGCAATCAACGCCGCCAATGGACACCAGTAACATCAGAGGAGTTACAAGTACGATACCGGCCTGTTAGAAGGAGCTAAACAGGATATTACTAGGTTTCCTAAAAAAAACTCATTGGTAGCACGGAGTCTGGAATTGTGCCCGGTATATGGCGTAAAATGTGCACCTCTGACTACCCCTTCGGGGATAAAAAGGCGTGATCTCATGTTATGTAAACAAGACCTCGGGTAACCTTTCTTATACAGCGAAACACAACCTGAGCGTTATTTTCTATGACATCCTGTGCTATGAGCTAAATACCATTGTCGACGAGAAAGTAGAAAACTCAATGTAGACAAATTACACTGACAAATATATTACGTCAATTCCACATAATTTAGTTTTGTACTATCTCATAGCACGGGTATCATTTCGGTAGAGCCAACCCACTTGTGCCAAAGTCGAAAATTCATTCTATAAAATTCAACAGTTATGTTTGTTCACGCACTGTTATCCATCACGCCCTTGTAAACCATGACCGGACGATGCGTGGAAAACTTTATCAATCAAACTATGCAAGACTAATTACAATTGTCCGTTTCCCAATACATGCCTTGTGTATAGATAAGCATTACCTGTTCTTATCAAAAGATTAAGGTATTAAACCAAATTATATCTTGCATCGTGACTATTTGACTTTCAGAATGCGATATTTTAATGTAAAATCTAGTATTAACCTTACTATTAATTTTCAGTGCATCCAGTGCACCCGTTCTTGTGGTGAACCAAAGAAATACATTAGTCTTTGAAACCACACAAACATTAATTGAGATAATTTCCAGAAACTTTTTAAAAGTAAGAAAAGAAAGGAAGGCGCTTATCACTTCTTTACCTAGCATCAAATTTTTGTTTAACAACAAAAGTTAAACTGATAACTATAGCAAATTGTTTAAACAATAACATTCGAAATGAAGTAACAAAACATTGATAAGAAATGAGACAAAAGAAGTATAAATAGACAAAACAAACTCACTGCCTAAACAATAAACATACAGGAGAAGAAATTGATTTCGAAAACTCTCAAGACTAGCAACAAGTCGATAAGAGAGATAATTTCACCAAAACAGATAAGTAGTAAGGCAAAAATGTCGTTGATTTAGATAAAATTATTATTAATTCCTTTACTGTTATCAAAGCCTACCTTGAATAATGAGCTAGATAGTTTATTTGTCCTTTGAAGACGTTAATACTCGCGTGATTAGTTTATCGTCTCATTAGGGGACATTTAAATCAAAAACACTATATATTTATAAAACTAGTGACGCTAAAATTGCTTCGCAATAATTTAAAACAAAGACATTTGATGAATATATTAATTGTGATACCTAATAATAGCTATAGCCAACGTTTATCAATATTGTTTTCCATTCCATTAAACACAATGCAATTAGCCAATACAAAAAGATTTCAAAAGTTACATTACATGTAACGAAAATATTCGTTATCTTAATCCAATATTTTACAAGTAACGATAAAATATTTTACTATAGGCCGGTAGAATTAGTTATGTATGCCACTGATATCAATATCATGTGGAAATGAGTCAAATATTAGACATAAAAATGTTACAAATTGATAAAAAATTATTACATTAACTGTTCAAATTAAATCGTGATCAAATGGTAATCTGTATAATTTCCATGGACATAAAAACAGAAATGTAACCAAAAAACAGACTAAGCCAGAGCAAAGGGGATTTAGAGTAGAAGCAAGAGCTTGTCACCAACAACAGTTAGACAAATTGTAATAAATACAAGTACAAAATAATATAAAACACTATGAAACGCGACACAAGAAGCATTGTAAGTAATAACAGAGAAATACGAACGACCACTACCAATTACAACGGAAGAGGCGAATTGCTTGGTGTACGCCTACCTATACGTACAATGAGTGTTTCCTTACCCGTTTCATTAATAAATTACTAGTCGGCTAGCATACTTGGTAATCTTTCATAGACTAACTTAGTAACTAAATAAAGATAATAAGCCTCATTACTACAAAGGCTTAAGTAAAATCCAAAAAACTTGGAAAGGCCAAATACAGAAGTTTGAAGCTTGACTACATCAAACTGTTTGATATTAAGCTCACGATGGTCTTGAGTAACAAGTGTGTGGCAATAGTTTTCATAAAAGTGATGTAGGTACGAAACCATCAAACTCTCTAAACATACTTTCACTTGACTAAAATAAAACTTTTCACGAGAACCTAGTTACGAACGTACGTACCGTTAGATCTGCGGACAAAACTCTGTATCAAATTCAACTGACGACGTCTCCATTGTAGATTATCTTAACCTTGTATTTGAGGCCGAAGGCAAATAATATCAAAATGTATGATATAAAAATGAGACAGAACGGTAGCATAAACCAACCTTAAATATCGATAAAAACAAAGTACCTAGTCAAGTGGTTGGACATGAATGTTTATAATTGCTGCAAAGGATATCGATGGCAATGCATCTAAACGCTGTATTCAAGTTAGTAGGTAGTCTTGCAACCTTGGTTGACAAGGATAAAGATGTGATCTGTTGAAACTGCAATTACATCGTGGTAAACAAAGGTTTTAAATAAACTTCATTTAACGAATAAAGGCCGCAATAGATTGGACGCTATTTCAAAAAAATTTAAGACAGTAGTTTCTCTATTTTTAAGCAAATTAGCGAGTCGTCCAACATTTATTCTGCAACCAAAGGGAAGATATGCATCAAAGAACTTTTCCCTTGAAACAAATTAGCTTTGAGAATAAATGACAATACTTAACCAAGGTAAAGTTTTGTAAAATTTCGTTTTTGTGCTAAATGTAAATAGATTCGTGGTAAACATTGCGCGGCATCCTCGATGGAGCAATCATTCATAATAGGAAACGAGGAAAACAAAGAAGTAATGGAATGGCAGCCCTTCGATGCGATCGTTAGGCAAGATTCTTGAGTAAAGGACTAGATAATCCATGGGCGTAAAATTACTTGTAAAATAATTAAACTAAGACCAAAGTAAAGTTTGATAAAACAACGTCAAACAAAACTACCTGATGAATAACTCCAAATCCAAGGGTTTTTATGTTTATAATTTTAGTAAACCTGTTCTTTTTGCAACTAAATCTCTATTTTAATTAACTACCACTTCATCAAGTTTTTCGGCTTTAAGATTCTTTAAAAATACAAAAAAAAAAACAAATAAAGAACGATATTTATTTTAATTTTTACTTCCAAAGCAAGGCGATCTACATTCAAATGAACGTGTTTGCTGGAAATGTCTATATTAAGTATGGAAGGACACGATCTTCTACATGACCGATAAAACGGGTATCATAGTGGCAAGAGACGTGTTTGAGAGGAATAATTGCCTTGGAGATAAAGAGGAAACAAAAGGAGGTCTATGTGTAGCTGATAAGGTAATGAGTCTCTCTCCTGATGAAGAAGTTCTAGAGTAAAAAGGATAGTCTACTTTTGGTCAGTTTAAAAAAGGAACCTAATGTTAAATTTATAAAAATGCGTTAATCTGCACGGTCCTCTCGTTAACCCATTATACAACAATCGTGACCAACCAAGACCACAAGTGGTCACCCCAATTCTGATGGTAATGAGGAAATAGGGTTCCAAATCCGAAACCCAATTTGAGATTGGTCCATACCAAAATTTTATAGAAGGATTCTCATTTTCTTTGAATAAAAGCTGTCACATATTTACCGTAACATTAAGTCTATACCTCTGTACTTAATTATGCATATTTACGTGGAACTAGTCGATTTATTTCAAAGAATTACAAATATGTGGGTATGCAGAAAAATTGCCATTTGAATTAACGTGGCTTATAACAAAAATTACCAAGTTCATTTTTGATCTCTTCCGTTCTTTTTAAGTTGTTCTGCAATTTAAGGCAAACAGGTTCAGGTGGACCTCATATGCAAATATCATTTTTATGTAAGTAAACGAGGATTAATTATGCATAATAAATTGACGACAAAAAATGGCACTCGAAGTAAAAGAATTAATAGTATTTATCATGTCATTCGTGTTAGCTTTTATTTCTATGTTAATAAATATAAATAACGGACATAATCTTGAGTTTGAGGAAATATAAACATTGAGGTCATAGGTATATAGCGCCTCATTAACACGAACATAATTAATGATTGAGACATCGTTAGAATCACTCATTATCTTTGTTATTCAAATAATTAAAATACACTTATTTACGTAAAAGGAATCAATATTGAAAAATTATCGGATTGTTCATAATAGCATTGTTTAAAATCATTGTTTGTCCAAGTAGAATAAGTTATAGAAGTGTACTTACTGCTTTTTCTTCCCTCCTGCACTTTGTATGTCAGATCAGTGAACGCCAAATCCACAGGCGGTCTCTTGGGCAAGTGTGTGAGGGTCCTGTGTTGTGCCGGGGTGATGGTCACCTTAAGACTCCCTTTCCTGTCGGATAACATCGGCTTAGTGTCCACAGGGCCCGGAAGGCACGATTCTTTGTCCACTTTCATTTTGAACAAAACACAATGATTTTTATTTAACTAAGAAACTCAGTTGGTCATTCGTACGTCACAAAGAAGTAAGTGATTGCGATTGAAGAGACGCGCGTTTCGCGCCAAGACCGCGCGCGCACTACTCGCAGCCGAGTGCTCAACTGAGCGGTTCCAGTCAGGGCCGCTCGAGGCGTGACGTACACTGATTAGCTATACGAGTTGTGAACTTTGCCTCTTGATGTTCATACATCATATGGGCGAATGTTCGCAGCCAATGAACGCGACTTATCTATGTATGTTGTGATGAAAGAGTTTCCAGTGTATTGATATCCTTGGCTATGCTTTGCCTGGTGCGAAATAATAATAACTGCGTTAGGCTTTTTGAAATATAGAAAGTCTTGTAGCTACTTAAACAATTTGTTTTGTTCAAGAATGAAATTGGACTTGTCACAATTAGAAATTGATGGTTTTCGTTGGCTTCAAACACTTAGTTACTTTAAACAGACAATATTTTATGGCAGTGGTAGAATATGAAGAACTGGAAATCGAGCTGGACAGTTAGGTAGGTACAGGTATATTATATCCAGTTAGGAATTAAAATAGGGTGATGCTGATAGATATTCTAAGGACCAGGGAACATCTAAAATACCTTATATTTTATGTGACACAAATTATATTAAATATTACTCATTATTTAATAGTCTAATAATCTCACTATTTAATAGTTTTGTAATAACATTTGCAATATAATAATCATTATGTGAAATATGAAATAAATTGTTCATCACCAAAACTTGTTTATAAAGTGAATTTTAAATGTAGAAACATTGACTATAAAATTTTTATGTTCAATTGTATAAATGCAAAAAATCAATGGCTTATATATTTTGCATTGGAATTACTAACTTGTTTAGTATTATTAAACTGTCAAACACCGCAAGGACACCGGTGACCGCTCGGAGTTTGATAGTTTAAACTGTCAAATAGACAGCTACTCAAAGGGTTAAGCCCACCGTTACAAAGTAAAAAGTCCTTCAAAAGATGTACGCTGAAATGTACTTATTTTTTTTAGAATTTGTTCAATATCTGCCTGTAACTCATGTAAGTGATCTCTTATTAGGAAAAGGAAGATTAAGATGCCTGCTTCTCATGCATGAGGATGCGGGTACGAAACCTGGGAACTACTAGACACCATTGACATAATAATATGTTGCAGGAAAATATTGTTCGGAAACCTGAACTTATAATTTCTAATTAGGAACATAATTTCTAATAATTATAAGTTTGAAACCAACTTGCCTTGGGCAAGCACCCTCCTCAATGTGAGAAAAGGCCTCAGTAGTCAGCACTTATAGACTATCGATGATGATAATAAGTTGAAGTAAATTAGCTATGAGCTATACTTAGATTAAACTGTAATGTCAATCAACTATCCAATAATAAATATGTATGCAACTTTGAAGTAAATTATAAATAATGCATAAGTGAGTGAAAACAATGGTTAATTTTGTCTTCCTGTTTTACTTTTATTGACCTATTTATGTAGACGCTTTCGCCCACCGGTATACCAAACTGTGATTCATTATAAAATTAATAAAAAAGTCAACTTTTACTTTCCATTTTTGAGCTTTATCTGTGTTCCATTTATGATATTAAATGTTGATTAAAAAGCACGGGCGTTGGTTTATTATCGCTCTACATTATGCTAGGAGTCGTAATCACATAACAGAATGGGTCAGGTACCTACATAATTATTTAGATACGTTGCAAAGAACAAAGTTGCAACATACGCACTTATTTCGCAAATGATCTTACCTCAAATTGTTGAGAATATATACGTTATCCATCCTAACCACTTCATAAGTTTACAGATTTAACAGTATTATTTCCAAATAAAACAAAAGACAAACACTAACAAAACAAATTTTTTGATGTTATGTGTGAAATAGGCACATTATTCTGGCACACAAAGTAGGATACTTTCTCCAGAATAAACACACCGAGCGAGATGGAGAAATATGTTTATATATAAGAAAGACAGAGACAAACGATATGATTGGGTGACATTGACAGCTGTCAGCTGTTAGACAGTTCCTTTATAAAAAAATCTCAACACCGTTGTTATAATTAGTTATTCTTTGAAATAAGAAAATAGATACCTGAAATCAAATCATTTTAAACAATTTTTCAAGATAAAATAGTTGCAAATAAAGCTGTCTACATAATATTTTCGAATGTTTTAGCAGATAAATACGTGTTGATCAACGTATCACACAAAAATAACACATTTAAATTCTGCGTCAAAACAAGTCGTATCATAATGCTAATAAAATTGCCAAAGTTTATAAATTTCTAATAAAATGGTAGGAATTCATTAATATCAGTTAATAATAATAAAATTAAATAGTTCATGGAAAATGGAATAGAAAAACCTGATACAGAAAACAGGAAGAAGAAATTCTTCTTTCTAGAGCTCCGACCGTTTGTAGCTTTTATATTTTTAAAGCATTTAATAATTAAATATTCATAAATGTCCGAAATAAGAAATAAAAAAAAAGTAGTAATGGGTTAATCCCTAAAAGTCTTGACATTAATCTTTAAGCTGGCGTTAGGTAGATAGATCTTGATCTATCTATGTCCTGATACGGAAGGCAGTTCTCTTAAAAACGGCACGTATCGTTATGAGGGCAGTCTCTGGAGAGCTCTGGAGTCTTTGAGGTCCAAGCTACCGATGGCTACCGGTACAGGGCGGCTCTTATTTTTTAATTTTTTTTTGTTGTTTGAAATAGTATGTATTTCAAAATGTAATTTTTGAGTGTTTTAAATAAATAATATATAAGTAAAAAATAATTAGTAAAAACAAACTACGCTACAATTAATTTCATAAAGATTAGCTATAGTATAGTTAATAGCAGCTACGCTAGTGACTATAAAACTAAAATTTTATGATTATATAGCTTGGCAAAAAACGTTTAACGCGGTGACAGTTGGAACTACTATTGACTTGGACTGAATCACCCAGTCTGAACCATATTCCATGAATAAATAATCATCCGAACATAATAAAAAATGGAGGCTGTTTTTAAACGCTGTAAATATAAAGAACAAATATTAAAACCGATTAATTTGTAGTGTACCAGGTTGCCATGGGTACGATACTAGCGATTTCAATTATTCCACTCTTTAATGCCAGATTTCTTTGGTAGAATTTTATTGTGTTAAGTTGTCAACTCAAATCTAAAATCTACCAGTTGCCATGCCACTTTTAAATGTCACTTTGTCATTGTTGTGTCACCTTATTTTACGTAAATTTACGTCAGACAAAATTGAACAAAATAATGTGAATATTTAATTGAATAAAAGATTCAATAATGAAACTGTGAAAAAAATAATCTTGCAAAATATGGAGAGCGTTACAGTGAGTATTCTCTAAATGGAGTCTTTGTTTGGTAGTCAGTGTTGTTTATTGTTCATTGTTCTAAAATTTATTGTTTCAGAATTTTTCTGTATCGCTTATCAAAGGTTTCATAGACAGCTTACGGGGTTTAAAAGTACTATTGTACCTCGACAAGGAAATAAACGAGCGTGCCTTAAGTCGCTCCCCGCCAACAGAAATTGATAAAAACAAACAAAAACAACCGAAGTTAAAACAGTAAGTTTCTCACATAATTTATGCGTGGTCTTTAATATAACATGTCAAGTCACGTCCATATGTGTAAACATTAATATGTTTTTGGAACAGTCCAAATATCTAGCTGCAGAAGTCTTGAGAAGCCGTCAACTATTGTTTTATTTCCACCATTTGTTTAATTCGATTCATGTAACTATAGGTCAAAGTACCGTATCGTGACTTATGTAAGCATTTAATCTTTGAAATGAAATTATAGCAAAGTACAAACACATCATGACATGTTACTTTATTATTAACTTTAGGAACATTAACATGTTAAAAAAAATGAACCAAGCACATGGTGTTTCATTTTTTTTGTTACTTTTTTATTAGCATCTGTTTTCGTCTTTGTTTAAGCTATTTTATTTCTTTCATCTATTATCTATAATAAACAATATCAAAATGCCCTATTTTAGGCACTTTAAGTTAAATTATAAATTAATTACTTAATCGAATAACGAGGCCATACCAAGAAGGTTTTTTTATTTATTGGGTTGGTCGTCATTTGCCACAATATTTACATTTAAATGTTATTATAACATGAAAAAAATACAATAGAATATGTTGTTACAGGGAATCCAAAGTACTTACACGAGTATTACAATCATGCATCTTGAATGGTTTTATATTTTTGCTTAGCATACTAATTTTTGAGTATGCACTTTTGCCTGCGGTAAAGTACTTAGTGATTGTTGTGTTTGGCCACAACCCTGGTGTGGCGCACAATGTCTGGGCATGGATGCAGCCATTCCTGTCCATGACCTTCCGGATGATATGGGTGCTCCCCTTGTTCCTGTTGAGTAAACTTGTCAACAGTTTATGGTTCCAGGTAAGAATTTTTATATTTTTTTTAAATATTGTCTCTGCTTCTTTCATTATGTTATGCTACATTCTTAAGGTTGGTGCAGTATTATGGCAGAAACTGCATGGTAATTGAGAACTAAATCATTATAATATTACGTAGCTAAGTAAAAATAACAACAGTCAGTCCATTTAATATACGCCGAAAGCGCACGTGGTCCCGCGCGGCCTGCGTGCTAGACGCGGCGGGCGGTCGGACGCGCGGTGGCGCGCTATGGATGCCGCGTGGGTACTTTTTTTTGACCATTCATAGTCTGCAACGGGGCTTTATACCTGCGCGGACATCCGCTTAACGTAGTTTCAAGCCTTATCAAGCCTAATATTTTAAGGATTTTTATGATGGCAGGGCATAAGCCTTTAGCAGTACATATTCATGATAAGATAAAAAAAAACAATATACAAATAGATATGTATGATATGAAAAATTTCTCTATTATTCATAGTAGTAATAAATAGTAATAATAATTAATTAGCTTTTATTAAACTTTACATGAATCCATTTCTATATGTTATGCTATTAAATTCTTCACATTATTTATTTGTATCATACAGAAACTAAGTACTCGATACAATGATAATATCCTCATGAATAAATCCAAGGTTTTTATTGTATAAACTCATCGATAATTCATTCTGTGAATTTAGTTTTTCCTTAAATATAGAACTCGTGAACTAGTTTTGTATAATTTCACGACTTCAGGTTTATTCACATTTTATTTGCGATGGGCAGATGTGCTGTCATTTATTCTGACATCTGGAAATAACAAAGCATAAAGTTACGAGCATTCGTTAAACCATCTAACTGACTCATACCACAGTTAACATTTTTTTAAGGTGATCTAAATAGTAGTAATCCTCCCCCATCCCGATCCAATCGGGTGTCTTTGGTCTATGGCTTACCATTCAGGTGATACCTACATCTGCTCGTTTGACCATAATAACAAGCTAAAGTTCTTATTTCTTTGTCTAGGATATAGCAGACAGTGCCTACCGCCACAGACGAGGGCGGCCGCAGTTCATGTCTAGTGTGAGCAAAATAATAGCCGACTCACTCTTCAGTCTGCTGGTGCAAGCATTGTTTTTAGTACAGGTAAGATATACCATCTAATTATATTGCCATGAATTCTAAGTAAATTGGTGCTGCAATTGTCTTCTATTTCGTTAAATATGTAGCATAAATTAGGTAATTATGTTTTACGAGTTACCTGTTTGACTCTACTAGTTTCAAGCCACAATAGGGGCTCATGATCATAGGCTGCATTATTGACGAACAATTGGTATAGCAATGTTCAATTTTATTCAGAATGAATCACGCGTTCAAATATTTATAGCATGCATTAAAGACTATCTAATTTTCAATCCCTTTCCTTTCAGAGTATGTTAGTAAATATGCTACCAATAGCATACATAGGCGAGCTTCTATGCCTCGTCCACATGTGCCTGCTGTACTCTCTGTACTCGTTCGAGTACAAATGGTTTAACATGGGCTGGGAACTGCACAAGCGGCTGACCTTCATCGAGTCCAACTGGCCATACTTCCTCGGCTTTGGACTACCACTTGCCGTACTTACGCAGATTCCACAGTCTTACATTATTAGGTAAGTTAATCCACCTCTATCAATCAAGGAGGACTGGGATGCCGTCTCCTTCTTCACCAGACGGTTTCGCAGACGCGAAACAGTCATGCTAGCTAAGGAAGCGCTGCTTCCTCATAACCCAGCCGTCGCGAAGGACACTCCCGGCGTCAGGGATCGCGGATCGCCTCAAAGAGCTATCAGACCACTACAGATTAGGCCCAATAGGGCTGATGTCGATACGGAGCCGCGGAGGACTTAACGGGTTGCCGGGGCTCCGGCTCGAAGGGCAGCAGTAGGAACGGGGTGGTTTTTAGTCGGTAAGAGCCAGTGACAGGCGGGAGAAGTCCTTCGAGAGCAGAAAGTCTTGAATATTAAAAAATATGATATAGACGTATATTAATTATACGTAATATTACAAACTACAAAAGAACTATAAGATAACACGCAATAAGCATTGATAACACTGGAATTAATGAGTGTCGATCAAACATTAATTTACTGTCATGCGTAACTTAAACAATTCTCATACGTATATCGTCACATATTTGGATTTAAAAAGTACTATGTTTTTGTTCCAGTGGTTGCGTGTTCTCCATATTCTTCCCCGTATTTATATTGAGCGGTAATGAGGCCTCGCCCGTTATAGGAAGGTGAGTATCCAATACCCTACTAATAATAAAATTTATTAGAATTTAGGTTAAACATATTGTACGACGTACGTACATACATAAATAGATATATGGTTAGAAATAATCTAGGATCTACAATACAAAGTTTTATATGGTCCAACTTGTTTTACTTGTAGTTAGTTTTATACCGATACGCAATAATAGGTGACATATTTCCATTAAACAAGCCGTTTATATAAATATTTTGTATTAATATATTTTACGACGCATTAAGAACTTTATAAATAAATACTTAATACAAATCAAGGTTAGATCCTTTTTAGAATAAACATGACTCTATGGTGATGTAGTGCGCTGTTATTCACTTTGTTTATCTTCAAACTCTTTCGCGTTTCTTTAGAAAACTTTTTTATAGAAATAATAATCTATACAGAAATATTAAATTAGAATTTCTGTTTGTGATATTAAAATAACAGATTTGTTCTACATGCATATGAATATATGTATGTAACTATACACATACCAAAATATATATTTTTTTAATTTTTGTCTATCTGTTTTTTTGTACTGGATAATCTCTGGAATGGTTGGACCGACTTTGACGAGACCTTTATTGGCATGTAGCTGATGTACTAAGGAGTAACACATGCTACGTTTATTTGGAAAAACAAAGTTATATCCTATTTATGTTTAACGCGGCCGAAGTCGCGGGCAATACCTAGTGTGCAAAATAAGTATGTACCGTTGTTACTTTAGTTCAATAAAATCATTGATAATTACGTTTATCTTACTGCTCATTAAAATCCAATTTTCTAACGAACTGGAATCGACTATAAATTTCTTTCTATATACATTTTTAATAGATAAAGTTCTTAAACAGATAAAAATAAATCCACATTGTTATACCGAGCGAGACTGACTGGACTTTGATCGAGATTTGATCAAGTAACAGATAAAGAGATAGATACAGTTATTTTATTACAGTTGTTTTAATATATGCGTTATGTTTGTTACATATGGTAGCTTTTAACTAAATTGTTATTTCTGGGTTCCTTTTATAACATTTTAGATTTGGAATCAAACGATATTCTAGTTGTCGATTTAGTTGAGCAGGCAAACAATGGTCGGGGGGCTTGGTTCGAATTCATTTCACGTGTAACGAAATCGAAATGAGACCACGTTCGGCTATCTGATTGGCGGGCTCCAATGAACCAACGAATCAGAATACCGATCACGGTCTCGTTTCGATAACTTTTAACGTTAAACAAATATGTACTAGGCCTCGGAGCACCACCCGAGCGTACGGCGTGCGTGTCGCGTTCCGCGCGCGCCTCAAAGAACCATCAGACCACTACGGATGGGGCCCAATAGGGCTGATGCCAATACGGAGCCGCGGAGAACCTAACGGGTTACCGGGGCTCCGGCTCGAAGTGCAGGAGTAGGAACGGGGTGGTTTTTAGTCAGTAAGAGTCTGACACTCCCTCCCCGCCTCACCCAGGCGGGAGAAGTCATTCAATGATTTCCCCCCCTCAAAAAACCCCTTTCGGGTCTGGGTGTCATGTGTATGTGAAATTGTATGTTTGTAAACGCATTTACGCGACAGGAGAAAAGCCTAGTGTAGAGCTACATTTTTTTAAGGAAAAAAATTCACTGTACTGTTAAATCCTATTTTTTTTATTTGTATTTTCGTAATGATATTAAGATACATTATTCTTTGTTCCAGCGAATATCCTCTACGCCTATTCTCTCCAGTGGTGGCGATTTCTAATGGATTGTTCCGTTTTGTTCGCCAAGGAGCCGATGTAGTAACACAACGGAATAGGTGACTGCCAACCGACACCTAACTACTAAGCTATACTTATAGTATAAAAGTAGGGCGTCAGGGTTGTGCAAAACTCTATTCTTGTGATAAAAATATTATTTTTACATCGTCTTTTACCTAGGACTGTTCATTTTAAATATCGAATTGGTCTTTGCTATCGAATTCAAAAATTAAAAGTTTTAAATGATTTCGGAGTTTTTTTTTGGTATAATTTGTCTAAATTGTGATTTTATCTGATTTAGATAGGATCAAAGTATTTGAGTCGTTATATAAATATAATATAAACAAGTATGTTACTTGTTTTTGTGAAATTTTAATAAATGTCAATGTTGTGGAACTGGCTTTAAATGTAATTCTAGATTTAGAACACAAATATGTCGTTGATACCTACATATGTACCTAATCATGTTGTAAAAACATTATTTTTTAGTAAATCATCACATTTATATTGTAACTAGTCAGTTCGCCGTATATTTTTGTATTTTAAGTAATAATAATATTGAGTTTCATTCAGAACTTTAAACCTCAATGGAAATTATGAAACAAGGTACTGTAAACAGGAAAAACTAATTTTAGTTTAATATGGAACTTTTCTAATTTAAAACATGCATATTAAACCTTTGAGTGGACGTCAACAAAAGATGTCGTCAAAATAAATAAAGATAATTCTAGATCTATTGCTTCAGCTACTCTATAGTAAATATAAAAATGCATGTTAATTTATATAGTTTTTAAGTAGCACAATCTGAATTCATACTATCTGTAAATAGCTATTACCGAACCATGCTAAAAGTTATACATGCAAAATACAAGTTACATATCATTAGGAATTCGTCTTACATCGCATAACACACTAATAGTAAATATAAAACAAATATTTTTAAATATTGACAACAGATTTTGTCACCAAAATGAGATATGACAATTCAGCGTCTTGTTTAGTCAATATTTTGTCGCAATTCTATTTTATTAGTACAATTATATTTTTATATTAGTTATTTTAAAGCCAAAATATAGTTGTTCATATATTTTGTAGCCATTCGCAATGATGGAAATTGTGAAAGGTGTCAGAATGGTTATCAATGAATTTTCTTATGTTGCGCTCATCACTTGGCGCTGGTGAGTTGGATCTTAGGTCATTATTTTAGTTTATAGCGATACAACATCCCTTATTTTGGATATATTTTTTTGCCCCTCTTTTTGACTACAACTTGTATGTCATGTATGAATTGATAGGTAGTGCTTAAAGTATCCGAAGCTGCGGACGGCCTGGTTACCGGGGCTCTGGACTGAATCAGGAGTAGGAATGGGGTGGGTTTTAATCAGTAAAAGTCTAACACTCGGGAGTCTAAAGCGGGAGAAGGCATTGAATGATTTTCCCCCCTCAAATAAGGCTCTTATTTTTATTTTAATGTCCGTCTGGTAGATTATTTTAAATCATTAGACACGTATTTTTTATTTTCTTACAGATACGAATACTTTCGACGATATATTGATTTGAAATGTCGCGTGACGTCACTTCTATGTACATTTTATACGTAGAAATGACGTTTTAGCCCCTACTCCTAAACTTTGATTCGTTTTATCTAAGTATTGTTTTATTATACGACAAAATAAAAAAATACGTGTCTAATATTTTTTCATTACCTAACTTACGGACTAATTAGATTTTTAATTTTCATACCCTGTCATCATCCCAATT